GGCCGCCGCCGCCGGCGAGTCCCCGGAAGGAGCCAGGGTGTCGGGCTCCGCGTGGCTCCGGTCCCGCCGCCTCGGAGGCTCCCGGCTCAGTCGGAGCCCTTGTTCTGCGTCGCCCGCAGGGCAGCCCCGCTCCTGCGCGTCCGGGCGCAGACGGCGCCGAGACGCCCCGAGACCCGGCCGCGGGCAGGCTCGGGCGTCGGCTCCAGACCTGGGCCAGGCTGCCCGGCCCGGCCGGCCCGGCTGGACGTCCGCCCGCCGCGCTCGCCGGATGTCTCCCGCTCCGCTCTCGAGTCTTCCGTGCAGTGCGATGTTGTCGATCCCCGTCGGATTCTGGCTCGTGTTCCCGGCCTCTTGGGGGATCCGGCCAACTGCCGACCGCTGGCGTGTGTTCCGCCCCTCCCGGGACTCTCTCTCGCCCTCCCGCCGCTCCAGCCGCGTCCGGCTTCCCTGCGTGGCGCCTCCAGCCCGGCTTCGGCGAGCTGGTGCCGCCCTTCGCCGCCGTCACCCAGCAACCAGATGAAAGCTGTGGAGCCAGGTGCATTTCTGTCTGGGTGGTGTTTTGATGTTCCATTTCAAGGGAACTCTGTCCTGCCATCACAGCCACATACACACGACTCAGGTAGACAACAGCGAGAAAGGGAAATAGAGAGGACCCGACCGGGCCTGGGGTGTGGTAGGCGAACGAACACCACCTGCTTGGTTACTCAACGCCCCCCTTGGAGGACCCTCCTTCCCCAGCCCCGCTGCAGGGAAGCCCCAGTCACAGGCCCCTGCAGCGTGGTCCTGGGGCCCAGGCTAGCCGATCAGAGCTCCCGACTTCTCGTGGTGCCTGGCTCGAGGACAGCCATCTCTGAGACCCTGCTGGCAGCAGGGAGGGGTGCGTCCTTTGGCTGCACGTTGGTGGTCGTCTTAACTTCTGGAAAGAGCCTACCACCAGAATGAAGTTAAATTAAGCAAGGCTAACAGGCGGAATCTGAGTCCTCCAACGTTGAGTTCCGCCAGACTGCTGCACCTGAAACCACAGCCGCCCTTTCTGATTCACCGATTATATAAGCTAGTAAATGTCCTTTGTTGTTGAAACTAGTTTGAATTCAAGCTTCTGTCGCTTTCAGACAAGGATCCTGACTGACATAGGCTGGCAGTCATGGGCAACAAGAAAATGTGTGTTTCCCCTTCAATTTAGTCGTCCATTAGCAATGCTGTAACATCGAGAATTTCAACTCCTCCCTCCCACCCCCCCCCCACACAAACACAGCAGGAGTGAGGTGAAGTGCAAGGACAATCCTCTTCCATCCTTCAGAAGAGGAATCATGCCAGCTGCCCTTGTGCATAGCGTTTTTGCCTCTTTTAAACAAACTTTTATGTATTAAAAAAAACAATTGAAGTTTTGTACAATATAAGCGCTGTCTCTAATACAAATCACTGATGGAGAGAAACAGGATGCACCCTCAGCAAAGGTCATAGAACAGGCGGTAAAATGTTTGTGTTCTTGAGGGAGGCGTTTTTGCTTTGTCCTGTGGAGGTCATGGACACCTCGGCCCCGACAACAGCCTCTGACTTTCCGGGAGCTTCTGCTAGCTGAGGCAGTTGGGCCGTGTCCGCTGAGTGCTGGAGAGAGTCCTGCTGACCTAAATTCTGAACACGCTTCTTGGGCCCATCTTTTATTTTGTTTGCAGTCTCCCTGGTGACGTCATCTGCCGAAAGGGAGAGAAGACAGCAGGAGGTCTTCAGATGTGAATTACATGCTAACTGTCCTTTAGGCTATACTCACCTTGGGTAGTCATGGTTGTTGATACAAAAACAGTTAATTTGTAAAGCATGTTCTGTGTGGCAGGCATTATTCTAAGCACTAGACATTTACCACTTCGTGTGATCCTTTCCGCAATCCTAGAGAATAGGCATTATCCTCATAAATGGAGAAACTGAGCCACAGAGAGGTTAAGTAAATCGCCCAAGGCCCCACACCTGGTAAGTGGCAGAATCAGAATTTAATCCCAGGAAACCTGTCTCCAGTGACCAGATGCTTAATCACTGGGCTATACAGTATTACATACAAAACTTTGCGTAATGCCATAATCTGTAACTGACAGACATTCAAAAGGTAATTATAGGGCATCAGGTGCACACAGTGAAAGAAGAAAGAGGAGAAAGGGAGTTGAATATAGGAGAAAAATGGAAAATCCTAACGATAAGGAACCCAGCTGAAACCAATTTTCCTGAGAGAGGAAAATCCCAAAGGTTAGAAATGGCTAGTCATGATACAGCCAGAGGACTTGTCCAAGGATGAGTTCAGAGAAACAGACACACAAAGCCTTCAGAAATGCCTGGATCCCTGATGGGACTAGGACTAGCTATTTGAGGGTCTGTACCTTTTTTGCTCGAGTGATGATAGCCTTGCACCTTGTCCTTCCTTGACTCAGAGGGGAAACAGAAACTGGAATTCCTAAGGGTCTGGGCTCTGGGCCGTGGCTTGAGGTTCCGTGACTCATGAATCCAAGCATGCTTGAGAGCCTGCTCAGGGGTCATTCGAAGGGAAGGTTCCCATCTGCACACCAACAAAGCCCAGCGTGGATTATTATTTTACGTCCCCTTAATTAAAACGCTTTAAAAACCCAATAAAGATATTTTTATTTATGCTATCTTATCTCTCATTTCAGTTTCCAAACTATGGAATTTGGGCCTCCACATATATCATAAAGAGAATTAGAGTTCTAGAATCTTAAGATTTATAAGGGGATATAATCCAGGCACAATTCGAATGCAGTTACAGAACACATTTCACAGAACTCCCATCGTGGGATCACCTTGCTATTTTCAGGTAATTTCAGTGATGAGGCACTAACTCACAGAACCTCCTATTCCAACTTCGGCGAACTCCAGCTCTTTAAAACGTCTTTATTTTTATTGAGTTAAAACTGGGCTTATTTTTTAACTAGAAGAAAATGTTACCAGGTCCTAATCTACTCAGCATTTTACAAAATGAAATGACTAATCCTTATCTTATGTTATAGTCCTTCAACTGTCTGAAAACGTTTACATCACTACTAACTATTGATCACATGATAGAGTTTTCACCCTTTGGCCACCTTCTAAGACAGGAAATTTTAGCTATTGTCTAACTGGTACCTGTCATGTCTAGACTCATCACCATCTTAAACAATGTGATCTCCCAATTCTTTTGTCAAAGAACTGATGTTTACCTACATCTCTCCTCTCCCGCACTTTTGGAGTTAGTCTATAAAGTCTAGACACAGGGCTTTCCATGTGCACCTATTTAATTCAGCTCAAAACTTTTAGTCACTCATTCCAAAGCTTTGCTAGTTAGCAAAATAGGGATAAGGTGACAGTCCCCATCAGCTCGATTGCCTCTCGCAAGTTGTAAGCAGTCAGTCCTTTGCACAAAAGAGGACAATAACATCTTCCTTGGTGCTGAGTTGTGTTCTAGAGTCACTGGATAACTCATCTCTGTCTCAGCTGTCAGTTTCTGTGATGTTTCACTGCTGAGCTAGTATCTAAATCCTAGAGTACTTAAGTGCCAGAAGAGCTTTTGCTAAAATGATTCCACCCCACTGGAAGAATGAGAGAATACAAAGATGTGGTCTTCTGAAAATACTAATCAATTTTAGGACTGACAGAGCTGGAAGGAACCTTAGGAATATTCCATTTTATAGAAAAGGATGCTGAGGCCCAGAGAGAAATCATGACGTGCCAACATTGCATTGCTAATCTACCTGCCACTAAGTGGAGACAGACTTACAAAACCTCTTTAATAGTGGCAGAATAGTCACAATAGTTAACATTTCCTAAACACCCCTCAACTGGGCAATGTGCTGGCTTTATGCGCTAGTTTCTTTTCTTACCATGAATTAAGTTACAGACCTAATTTCCAACAATTTCCACTAGTTAAATTCCTCACCCAAGTTATAATTGATGATCCCTGAAAATAAGCCCTGAAAAGAGTTCCAACAGCTTCCCAAGGATGCTGCATGCAAGGCTTCGAGGGGGAGACTACTCATTTGCACATCCAGACTCTGGTGTGCATGTTCAGAAGAGCCGAGCATTTGTTCTCACTCCTTCTAAGTCTGTGTGTACACAGGTGGGTTTGTATATGCACACACACAATTCTCATGTTAAACTGAATTCCCTCAAAAACTCAGTGGAGTCCACATGACAGACATTCTAGAAGATCTATAATGAAGTATTTCTGTGAGTTTTTTTAACCCATGCCATTTGCAGGGCATCAAGAAGAACATCTGCTCTTACCAAATTCCTGGAGGACAGACTTCCAAGCATGAGTATGTGTGTATTTGTGTATTTATATGGATAAAAATGGGTCAGAGGTATTGTGTATGTTCTGTGAAACATAAATTCACATTTCCTTTGGGATTGTGTCACCCATTAAGTTACCAGCAGCATTCTTCTAAGACATGGAATGACAATACAGGAATTCATACAGAAAGATAAATGATCACTAACAGCCAAAACAACGCTCAGCAAAAAAATAAAATAAGAAGCGGGAGGAATCATGCTCCCAGACTTTAAACTTTATTATAAAGCAACAATAATCAAAAGAATCTGGCATTGGTACAAGAACAGGCATAGAGACCAATGGAACAGGACTGAGATTTCAGAAGCAAAGCATCAATTTGTCAACCAACTCATCTTCAACAAAGCCTCCAACAACAACCACTGAGAGGAGGCGAACCTCTTCAGTAAATGTTGCTGGGGAAACTGGTTGACCACATAAAGAAGATTAAAACAAGACCCCTACCCTAGCACCATACACAAAAATCAACTCTAAATGGATCAAAGACCTAAACGCAAAATCTCAAACTATAGGAACCTTAGAAAACACAGGAGACACCCTTGTGGAAATTGGAACTGGCAACCAATTCCTGATCAAAACCCCAAGATCCCATGCAATAAGAGGTGAGATAGACAAGTGAGACCTCATCAAACTGACAAGCTTCTGCAAGCCATAGATACCACTGAGAGAGTGGGTCAGCAGCCTACAGACTGGGAAAAAATACTTGCCAACTGTATGTCTGACAAAGGCTTAACATCTAGGATCTACAAAGAAATGAAATGTGCTGAAAAGAAAAAAACAACCAACCCCATTTCAAAGTGGGCAAAAGATATGAATAGACACTTTTCCAAAGAAGACACACAAGCAGCCAGCAGATACATGAAAAAATGTTCAGCCTCACTAGCCATCAAAGAATTGCAAATTAAGACCACACTGAGATATCACTTAACTGCAGTCAGGATAGCCATCAGTAACTAAAAAAGCAACAGATGCTGTTGGTGGGAGTGTAAACTAGTACAGTGTCTGTGGAAAACTCTGTGGCAACTCCTAAAAAATCTAAAAATCAACATCCCATACGACCCTACAATCCCCCTACTAGGAGTTACACAGAGGAACTCAAATCACTCTATGAAAAAGTCATCTGCACATGCATGTTTATTGCAGCATTATTTGCAATAGCAAAAACATGGAACCAACCATGCTGACAATGAAAGAGGACTAGATAAAAAAATGTGGTACATATACATGATGGAATATTATGTAGTCATAATGAAGGACAAAATTATGAACTTTGCAGCAAATTGGATGGACTGTGATCTATCACAGAAACAAAGAACTGAGTATCACATGTTCTCACCCATAAGCAGACCCTCAAGAACTATCGTAATACTATAAGAAAGGGATTGGCAGTAGCAGGAAACTGCCTGGGGGCGGGAATAGGAGTGGCAGTAGTGAGAAACTGCTGATGGGAAGGGCATACCTCATAACAAGGGTACCTGCATAATGAACATTTGTATACCTAACCTGACTTATACCCCACATATTTAAAATAAAAATTTTATAAATTAATTAAATTTTTAAAAAATTTAGAAATCACTTGAGCTTCTACAGTAGAATGAAGAGAGTAAAGAATTAGTGAACATGAAAGTATAACAGTAAAAAATGCCCAATGTCAACAACAGAGAAAAGATAGACTAAAAAAAAATAAAATAAGCCTCAAGATCCTGTGACATTATAACAGAAAGTCTAACATTAATGTAATTGGGAATTAGAAGGAAGAAAGTGTAGGACTAAACAAGAATGTAAAGAAATAAAGTCTTAAATTTTCCAAAAGTTAACAACTACAGATTGAAGAAGCTCAGTTAACTCCAAATAATGAAATCCATGCCCAGATGCATCATAATCAAACTCTGAAAACTAACAACAAAGGAAAATTCTTGAAAGTAGTAAGAGGAAATTGACAGAAAAAAATTCAGATAATAGAGTTCCCATCAGAAATCAAGAGTTGAAGAAAGTATTACAACATTTTTCAAGGGCTAGAAGAAAAAATTTGTCAACCCAGAATCCTATATTCAGCCACAATATCTTTAAGGGATGAAGGAAAAAATCAAGACATTCTCAGATAAGAAAACTAAAATAATTTGTTGTCAGCAAACCTGCCTTAAAAGGATGACTGCACGAATTTTTCTAAATGAAGAAATGACAAAAGAAGAAATCTTGGAACAGAAGGAAATAAAGAACAGCAGAAACAGTTAAAAATATGAGCAAATAAAAAAGAATTCCCTTCTCTTCTTGAGTTTTCTAAATTATGCTGGACATTTGAAGCAAAAATTATCATGTCAGATGTGTTTCTCAGAGTAGGTGAAAGAAATACTATATACAGAGGAGGGTAAAATAGACACTTAAATTAAGGTAAGGTTTTTGTATTTTATTTGAACTGTAAAAATGGCAAAATGTGAAAAGTCATATATGCACAGTAGTAATGAAATACTTATGAATTATCTTCAGCTTTGTGGTGGTTGCATGAATCTATGTATAATACAATGACATACTTATATACACATAACACCAAAGTCAATTTTCTGGGTTTGCTATTGCACTATTGTTATCTAAATACGGTTGTGTGCTAAAAAATTTATATACATTTTAAGAAAGGAAAAAAAAACTATATTAAAATTGTAATACCCAATATATACCAATAACAAAAGATAAATACAAGTCATGTTTGACTTCTACAGTTACAAGAGGTGCTCAAAGCGGTTACCTTGTGTCCAGACACTTCTGATTATGGCAAACTAAGTGTAGTACATAGATAAGACAAAGATGCATTCGTGTACAAAGATATATAAAGACAAAAATGTGTTGAAAATAAAAGACTGGGGATTTCCGGCAAGATGGCAAACGAACGGGTTGGACTTTGCCCATTTTGTAGTGAGAGTCTCTGCAAAGCAAGTATCCATAAAGACTCTCTGCGTGAGTGGGTGTGCGCTGGTGGGTGAGTGAAAGTCCATCTGGGGAAAGACTCGGGCTCATGTACCTGGGGCTCTCCTCTGGAGGTGACTGCAACCCCCCACCCCAAGATTGGAGTCTCCAGTACGCAGGATCATCTGCTATACTCGAGGGTCTCCTGAGAAAAGGCAGCAGAAAACAACTGATCCTCACCAACTGACGTCCAGCCCACACCATCACCTGTGACAGCAGAGTAGCATGAGCCCCAAGATCCAAGGAGAGCTGAAAAGAAGCCCTGGCACTGAAGGAAATGCAGACCAGCACCATTTTCTCTCAGGACCAGGCAGAGACCTGTATTTCCCCACCCAACTCTGTCCAGCCTCTAACCTGTGACCTAGAGGTTATCACCTCATCAAACTCAGAGAAACAGACACCCCTCCCCC